AGAATTCATTGCAAGGTGAAGAGTGTGAGGAATTGAATGGGTCCGGGGGGGGGGGAGGTTGAGTTGGACAAGAGGCGGAAAGAAGAGCTCATTTGTCCGTGGCTAGAGGGCACAATCTGGGCGGTTCTGCCAGGGGCGCGAGATCACCTAGCTATGGCTCTGACCAATATATCACAATGTCTGAGAATAAGGATGCAACTACAGTACAGTGGTATCTCGGGTTAAGTACTTAATTCATTCTGGAGGTCCGTTCTTAGCCTGAAACTGTTCTTAACCTGAAGCACCACTTCAGCTAACGGGGCCTCCTGCTGCCGCCGCTGAGCGATTTCTGTTCTCATCCTGAAGCAAAGTTCTTAACCTGAGGTACTATTTCTGGGTTAGCGGAGTCTGTAACCTGAAGCGTCTGTAACCCAAGGTACCACTGTATGTAGAGGCGAACTGCGTACAGTAATTTCTTCGGAACTGCTCCTACTTAGACATTTTCACTTACCTTTAACATAATGTTGCAACTGCTATTTTATAGTGCAGAGCAACAGGGGCAAGAGGAATCATGAGAAAAGTGATGAGTTGGCTTCACGGTTTTTCCCACATCACAATTTTATTTTTTTACATATGACACACACACACACGCATTGTGATATTTCATGATATATCGCCATGTTGAATATTACAAAACTGTTACCGTGATGTGGACTTCAAACCAATTTTGGATGATGTATCAATACATCGCCTAGCCCTAATGACAATATTGACCATTTGCTTTTTAGTTTTTTACTAATAATATCAATAATTCTTGTCATGAAATTTGTGGGTTTTTTCATGATTATGCACTGAGGCTGCTTTCAATCCAGACAACCTGTTTACTGAGCATTCCTCCCGATTTAGGAACATAGGAAACTGCCTTATACCAAGTTAAGACCATCCCATCGTTATCAGAATGGAGCAGGATTTCATTTGGACCTAATTTTTAAGCAAACTGGAGTTCTAGTTAATCATAATTTTAATAATAATAATTTATTAGAATCATAGAATCATAGAATCATAGAATCATAGAATCATAGAGTTGGAAGAGACCACAAGGGCCATCGAGTCCAACCCCCTGCCAAGCAGGAAACACCATCAGAGCACTCCTGACATATGGTTGTCAAGCCTCTGCTTAAAGACCTCCAAAGAAGGAGACTCCACCACACTCCTTGGCAGCAAATTCCACTGTCGAACAGCTCTTACTGTCAGGAAGTTCTTCCTAATGTTTAGGTGGAATCTTCTTTCTTGTAGTTTGGATCCATTGCTCCGTGTCCGCTTCTCTGGAGCAGCAGAAAACAACCTTTCTCCCTCCTCTATGTGACATCCTTTTATATATTTGAACATGGCTATCATATCACCCCTTAACCTCCTCTTCTCCAGGCTAAACATGCCCAGCTCCCTTAGCCGTTCCTCATAAGGCATCATTTCCAGGCCTTTGACCATTTTGGTTGCCCTCCTCTGGACACGTTCCAGTTTGTCAGTGTCCTTCTTGAACTGTGGTGCCCAGAACTGGACACAGTACTCCAGGTGAGGTCTGACCAGAGCAGAATACAGTGGCACTATTACTTCCCTTGATCTAGATGCTATACTCCTATTGATGAGGCCCAGAATTGCATTGGCTTTTTTAGCTGCCGCGTCACACTGTTGGCACATGTCAAGTTTGTGGTCAACCAAGACTCCTAGATCCTTTTCACAAGTACTGCTCTCAAGCCAGGTGTCACCCATCTTGTATTTGTGCCTCTCATTTTTTTTGCCCAAGTGCAATACTTTACATTTCTCCCTGTTAAAATTCATCTTGTTTGTTTTGGCCCAGTTCTCTAATCTGTCAAGGTCGTTTTGAAGTGTGATCCTGTCCTCTGGGGTGTTAGCCACCCCTCCCAGTTTGGTGTCATCTGCAAATTTGATCAGGATGCCCTTGAGTCCATCATCCAAGTCGTTGATAAAGATGTTGAATAAGACCGGGCCCAAGACAGAACCCTGTGGCACCCCACTAGTCACTCTTCTCCAGGATGAAGAGGAACCATTGATGAGCACCCTTTGGGTTCGGTCAGTCAGCCAGTTACAAATCCACTGAGTGGTAGCATAGTCAAGACCGCATTTTACCAGCTTCTTTACAAGAATATCATGGGGCACCTTATCAAATGCCTTGCTGAAATCAAGGTAGACTACATCCACTGCGTTCCCTTCATCTACCAGGCTTGTAATTCTGTCAAAAAACGAGATCAGGTTAGTCTGACATGACTTATTTTTCAGAAATCCATGCTGACTATTGGTGATCACAGCATTCCTTTCTAGGTGCTCACAGACTGTTTGCTTAATGATCTGCTCCAGAATCTTCCCTGGTATTGATGTCAGACTGACTGGGCGGTAATTATTTGGGTCCTCTCTTTTCCCCTTTTTGAAAATAGGGACAACATTTGCCCTCCTCCAGTCTGCCGGGACTTCGCCTGTTCTCCAGGAATTCTCAAAGATGACTGCCAGTGGTTCTGAAATCACATCTGCCAGTTCTTTTAATACTCTTGGATGCAGTTCATCTGGCCCTGGAGACTTGAATACATCTAGACTAGCCAAGTATTCTTGTACTATCTCCTTAGTTATTCTGGGCTGTGTTTCCTCTGCTGAATCATTTGCTCCAAATTCTTCAGGTCGGGCATTGTTTTCTTTATCGGAGAAGACTGAGGCAAAGAAGGCATTGAGGAGTTCAGCCCTTTCTGTGTCCCCTGTTTGCATTTCACCATCTTCTCCTCTGAGTGACCCCACGGTTTCTTTGTTCTTCCTTTTGCTACGAACATACCCATAAAAGCCTTTTTTGTTGCTTTTAACCTCTCTAGCAAGCCTGAGTTCATTTTGTGCTTTAGCTTTTCTGACTTTGTGTCTACACGTGCTGGCTATTTGTTTGAATTCCTCTTTGGTGGTTTCCCCCCTTTTCCATTTTTTGTACACATCCTTTTTTAATCTTAACTCAGTTAAAAGTTCTTTAGATAGCCACCCTGGCTTCTTTAGGCACCTTCCATGTTTCCGTCTCATTGGTATTGCCTGAAGTTGTGCTTTTACTATCTCCCTCTTAACAAACTCCCAGCCATCTTGAACTCCCTTTCCTTTTAGTATTACTGTCCATGGGATCTCACCCAGCACTTCCCTAAGCTTTATGAAGTCGGCTTTCTTAAAGTCGAGAAATTGAGTCCTAGTATGCTTGGCTGCTCCTTTCCGCTGTATAGTAAACTTCAGAAGAGCATGATCACTCGCGCCTAATGATCCTTCCACTTCTACCCCACTAACCAGGTCATCAACATTGGTTAGGACCAGATCTAAAATGGCTGTTCCTCTTGTTGCTTCTCCCACTTTCTGGACAATGAAGTTGTCTGCAAGGGCAGTGAGGAATCTGTTTGACCTTATGCTCTTGGCTGAGTTTGACATCCAACAAATATCCGGGTAATTGAAGTCCCCCATTACTACTATCTCCCTTCCTTTTGCATGCTTGGCCATCTGTTCCAGGAAGGCATCATCTATGTCCTCCGTTTGGCTTGGGGATCTATAGTAAACTCCCACAATGAGGTCACTGTTATTCTTCTCTCCCTTAATTTTGACCCAAATGCTCTCACTTTGGCTTTGAGGTTCTAAATCTTGGATCTCTTCACAGGTATACACATCCCTGACATATAACGCCACTCCTCCTCCTTTCTTGTCTGGTCTGTTTCTTTGAAATAGATTGTATCCCTCCATTATTACATTCCAATCGTGGGATTTATCCCACCAGGTTTCAGTGATTCCTATTATGTCATATTTAGTTTGCTGTACCAGGAGCTCAAGCTCATCTTGTTTATTTCCCATGCTTTGCGCATTAGTGTACAGACATTGAAGTCCATTAATCATTCCCCCGTGTCTCTTATTTAAGGATTTTCTCCTCCCACCACTAGGTCTGCATGCTCTTTGCTCCATTCGGTCTATGACATTTGGATGATCATCTTCATCAATTGATAGACTCCTACCTTCAGGAGCACTGTCTCCCTCCCCCACATTAGTCAGTTTAAAGCCCTCCTGATGAGGTTTCTGAGATTTTTTGCAAAAACATTCCTCCCAACCGTTGTGAGGTGCAGCCCATCGCTTGCCAGAAGTCCATCTTCAAGAAACTGCATTCCGTGATCTAAGAATCCAAACCGTTCCTGTTTGCACCATTTGCGAAGCCAGTTGTTCACTTCCACTATTTTTCCCTCTCTCCCTGGGCCACGTCGTTCAACTGGGAGGACAGATGAGATGACAATTTGTGCATTTAATTGCTTCAATTTCCTGCCCAGAGCCTCGTAATCTCTTTTGATCTTCTGGAGGCTATTGCTTGCAGTGTCATTGGTTCCCACATGAACCAAGAGGAAGGGGTATTTGTCAGTGGGTTTTATGATTCCTTGCAGTCGTTCAGTTACATCTTGGATCTTAGCCCCGGGGAGACAGCACACTTCCCGAGACATCTTGTCAGGCCCACAGATCACTGCTTCTGTTCCCCTCAGTAGGGAATCCCCTATCACCACTACACGCCTCCTCTTAGGTCTGGTCGGGGTTCTTCTGTGAGCTGTCGGTTCCAAGGTCGCCTGGACATTCCCAGAGGACTGCCTTTGCTCCTCGTCTTCATATACCTGATCGACTGTAATGAGGGAGAGATCCTCAAATGGAGTCTGCTCTTCGTCTTCCATGCTAGGGGAAAGGACCTCAAAGCGATTGTGTATTTCTAAACAATCAGAGCGAACCCACCCATCTGTCTGGGTTTCCCCAGACACTGGGCGGTTTCCAACAAAAGATTAAAAATACACTAAAACATCAATCATTTAAAACTTCCCTAAACAGGGCCAGTGGCGTAGCGTGGGGGGTGCAGGGGGGGCCGACCGCACCCGGCGCAACATCTGGGGTTAGGGCAAATCCACGGGTTAGGGGGCGCAAATTACTTGCCTTGCCCCGGGTGCTGACAACCCACGCTACGCCACTGAACAGGGCTGCCTTCAGATGTCTTCTAAACGTCCGGTAGTTGTTTATTTCTTTGACATCTGATGGGAGTTCAACAGCAACTGGAAAGCCACACGCTTCCCTCCCTCACTGTACTGTGAAATCACCCTTAATGTCTGCTTTCTGCTCCTAAACTACTTACTAATCTAGAAAATGATCCTTTCTCTTAATCTCATGATTTACTCGCAGGTTTGGCTGAAGGGCATGATGCAGAGACTAGTCGCACTTTTAAAAGTCTCAAAACCAATGTATTTTTTTCCCTTCCACTAGACAGCAACATCTAACCAGACTTTGTGAAAATGGAAATGACTTATCGGCCTGTTGTCACCACCCAGCCGCAATGCCACACATCCACGCGGAGTTTTGAGTGGCAGACGGACCTCTGTGACTGCGGCAGCGACTGTCGTGTTTGTGAGTGAAGTTCAAAGATTTGGGGTTTTATGGCCTTGTGGGACTTTGAACATCAGCCACGGTTTATCTGTTCTATAAAACAACAGCTAACCTCTCTCTATAAAAGCCAGTCTCTAAGTGTTCCATCACACACTACTGTGACCATTCTCAAATAGCAAGGTGGGCTTCCCAGGCAGCAGAAGAAGTGTAGCATCTGCCACTTGTGTATAATAAAAATAAATAAATAAATAAATAAATAAATAATAATAATAATAATTTATACCCCGCCCATCTGGCTGGTTTTCCCCAGCCACTCTGGCCAGCTCCCAACAGAATATACAAAAACACAATGAAACATCAAACATTAAAAGCTTCCCTATATAAGGCTGCTTTCAGATGTCTTCTAAAAGTCAGACAGTTGTTTATCTCATTGACATCTGGTGGAAGGGCATTCCACAGGGCAGGCGCCACTACTGAGAAGGCCCTCTGCCTGGTTCCCTGTAACCTCACGTCTCACAGTAAGGGAACCGCCAGAAGGCCCTCGGAGCTGGACATCAGTGTCCAGGCTGGACGATGGGGGTGGAGATGCTCCTTTAGGTATACGGGGCAGAGACCGTATCTGCTCCGTTTGCAGTCCAGGTGCTCTCAACTTGGGGTGCTGTCAATTATTGGGCACCTTCCAGGCCCCAGATATCTCTTCTCAGGGTTCTTTGCCCTTAAATTGGATTTGGATTGGCAGTCCTTCAAATAGAGGACTGTATTCTGTAAAGTATTCTGTAAACGTCAAAGGTACCGCTCTGGCGGGACGGTAAACGGCGTTTCCGTGCGCTGCTCTGGTTCGCCAAAAGCAGCTTAGTCATGCTGGCCACATGACCCGGAAGGTGTACGCCGGCTCCCTCGGCCAATAAAGTGAGATGAGCACCGCAACCCCAGAGTCGGACACGACTGGACCTAATGGTCAGGGGTCCCTTTACCTTTATTCTGTAAAGTGGGACACATGGTAGCTTAAAGGGAGGTGTCAGGAAGGGGAGGAGAGGCACAACAGTCTCTAAAATAGCTACTTCCTCTGGCAAGTTGTGTGGACTGAGAAACCAACCCTGGAGCAAGACTTGTACAAGGCCAGCCAGCTCCCCCATTGGCTTCTCAGATAACTTGGTCCACCTGAGGTGAGGAGCTGCAATCCCCTTCTCTGCAGGGGCGGAGCAAGGTGGGTGTGGTGGGTGCGGTCTGCCTGAGGTGTCACCTCCGAGGGGGGTGACAAAATGCTGTGTGGCTCTCAACATCTGTGAGAGACGCCTTGGTGTGCTTTGGCTTACCGCTGCCAAAATGGCTCCCTTGTAGGGCGGCAGGCAGACTCCTCGTCGCAAGTCACGCGATCCCCGCTAGAATAGCTCAACAACTCTGGCTCCCAAAATGTGAAATAAAGTCAAACCATTTTTGCAGGCAAAAGTTTCAATGTGTGTGGGGGGTGACAAGAAATTTTCTGGACCGGGTACCACCTGACCTTGCTATGCCACTGCTTCTCTGGCCATTAATATGGTGTTGCAGAACAACCAAGATCAAATCAATAGCCCGCAGTAACTGAAGGCTGCTCTGGCAGTGCAGGTCTTAAGATGCCCAGGTCCAGCTGACGGATTCCCTCCCTAGCATATTATAAGATCAGATGGCACCATGCCCCATTAATGGCCCCAAGTGGACCCCATTTCTGTCCCTGTAGGAGAGAAGGGCAGCCACTCACCTATATGGGGAGAAACGAAGAGCTGTACAGGGCGACCCTGGTGTGGCCTATATGGTCTGACCTTCCCTCCCAGGGAGATTAATTATTATTCTACATAATAAAAATATAGGTCTTGCTATCCAGACATCATACGATCCATGGAAATCATTCACAGGGGCAAGTGTTCACATAACAAGCCAATGATTTCCAGTGATTCCTACTGGAAAATTTCTAATGTGTCCCGACCATGGAATTTTTACTCCCAAAGACCCACCCCCCAAAAAAATCCAGGAAAACACAGGGGGAAATGCTCTGATTTATCCGATTGCTCGCCCTCCCTCCATTCCTCAGCCAACCAGCAAAATGCAAATGAGGAAGTAAAAATGCTTTTCTGTTTGGATATCTGAATCTGTGGTGTGTATAGCAAGGCTTGGGTACGAATTCCTCATGTTTGGATAAATGAATTTTTGCTTAGTGAACTTTTACAAAACAGAATGTGTGCGTCTTTACCTTTTATCTAAGCTTCCGCTGCCCTTGGCCCTTGGCTCTGTATGTGCTTATGACTTGAATTGCACACACCTTTGGCGAGTCTTTGCAAACTCACAAACAAGTTTGGCCAACCCATCATGATGACTGATAATTTCCAGTTGCATGTAGTAACTGCAGAAAGAAATCCAAGACGCAAGGAATTGTTGACCCAAGAGCAATTGGTGCCAGAGAGTAATTTGGGAGTTAGGGAACTGCCTACCCTGAGTCATTTTTGTCTTTAATGATTGGCAGTGACTTTCCAGGGTTTCAGACACTGGGCACTCCCAGTCTCGCCCTGGAGATACTGAGGATTGGGTCCTTAGGCCTTTTGTATGCAAGATAGATGCTCTAACCCTGAGAAGTGGTCCTCTCTATGAAAGTGTTTCTTCATCTCAAGACACCGTGCCTCTAAATGCTTCTGAAACCAAGCAGTGAAATTCCATTGGCTGCGTGAATACTAGAGGGTGAGAAAATGCTAACCTTTGTGTTTGATTCCCCCCCTCTCTCTAGGTCTGTGTGGAACATTCTGCTTCTTCTGCCTAGGATGCAAAGTTGCCAAGGACATGGAAGAATGCTGTTGCTGTGGACCGAGCGTCGCCATGAGGACTCGCTACCGGACTCAGTTTAGGATACCGGTAAATTACTGGATAGGGACGCAGGTGGCGCTGTGGTCTAAACCACAGAGCCTCTTGGGCTTGCCAATCAGAAGGTCGGCAGTTCGAATCCCCGCGATGGGGTGAACTCCTGTTGTTCGGTCCCAGCTCCTGCCCACCTAGCAGTTCAAAAGCACATCAAAGTGCAAGTAGATAAATAGGTACCACTCTGGCGGGAAGGTAAACAGTGTTTCCGTGCGCTGCTCTGGTTTCGCCAGAAGCGGCTTAGTCATGCTGGCCACATGACCTGGAAGCTGTACGCCGGCTCCCTCGACCAGTAAAGCGAGATGAGTGCCACAACCCTAGAGTCGTTCGCGACTGGATCTAACCTTTTAAATTACTGGATAATATTTGTGTTTCGCGTTTCCAGGTTGCTCAACAAACACTCCCCAATTAAGTGTTGTGCAGATAACATATTAAATAAATAAAGAAAACCAGCGGAGACTGGAAACAGAATGATCCATGCATCCCTAATCAAAATACAATTCAGTCTTCTGCTATGAAATTTTGCTTTTTTTTTTTTTACTCACTTCAGGGATCCATCTGTTGCGACTGCCTCACCACCACTTTCTGTGCTCCCTGCAATCTTTGTCAGCTCAAGAGAGATATCAACAGGAGGAAGCAGCTGGGGATATTCTAGAAAGGTTTGTGATTCCCGGTTTACAGCCTAGGAGCAGGGGTGCGGGATGGAAGGCGTGGTAAAAATACATTGTTCTTTGATGCATTCTCTGTTGTCCTTAGATATGGCTGGGGGAGCGGGGAAGAGGTAAGGAGGGACCAATCCCAGTATCCCAAAATATCTGCCTTGTATCAGGCTTTGGGCAATTGGCTTCCTACCCGTGGCCGTAAATGAGCAGATCAAACAAAAGAGAATTCTTATGAGTTCCTTTCTTTAATAAACACAGTGAAGGACAAAAGAAAGCATCTAACCAGAATGGTGGTGCTCCCAATTAAGCTCACTCCCTACTCTGTCCCTATTAATCTACATCACTCCTAAATCTTGTAATCTGAGCTTGGAACCTCTGTGCTTTCTGTTCTGACACTTTCTGAGCTCTCCAGGACTTTGGGGAAGCTGGTGGATACTATCCAGAGACTGTGAATCTGTTAACTCTCTCTCTTCCAGTGTTTCTTCTGCTAGCTGTTCCCCATCCAGTATTTCCCAGCTTCTGCCTTCCGAACTATGCCCCTCTGCAAACCACTGTTCCAAATCTATACTGTCCTCCTGCTCCTGGGAAGATTCAGGATCAGAAGGAGGGGGAGGCTCCCACCATTCCTTCTCAGTGCAGATCTCCTCAGCACGGTCCCTGACACCTTGAAATTCTGCAAAGCAAAAGTCCCCTGCTATGTAACTCGTGACATCAGCTTGTGACCCATTGCCAGATACTGGCCTGGCCATAGAATCATGGAATTGTAGAGTTGGAAGGGACCACGGTGGTCATCTAGTCCAACCCCCTGCAATGCAGGAATCTTTGGCCCAATGTGGAGCTTGGAAGAGTCTCATGCTCTACTGACTGAACTATCTATCCCAATTAGCTTTATTCAGCACAATAAAAACAGGAAAACCTGCCCCTCCCGAGTATTTGTTGTACAGGATTTCAGCAGAAACTACCAGCAGCCGGAAACCTTTGCTGGAGCAAACAGTACCGAACGTGAGATTATGTAAAATGACTCTGACACCATCGTTAGCCCACGCTTCTCAAACCCCATGTGCAATTTATGCTCCATGGCTTATTCCCGTTATCGTTATGTAACCTTAATGCATATTTGATCTTTGCCCAGCAGGCTAGTTTCTACCCAGAACTCACACACCCTTCTCTTATCCTCCATGCTTGCAAGCAAGATCAGTATCAGGGTTCAAGGACGCATCGCAGGTGGGCCAAAACATTAAAGAGAGCCTGGAGCAAGGCCAGCGAGTGGAGGGGACATGGGTAGCAAGTCCTGAGAGTCCTGAAGGCCTGGGAGACAGGACTCCGTTTAGCCACCTTTTCCCTTTCAGCGGGTTCATGAGACTGACGTAGGTTTCACTCCCATCAGTTTTATAGCTTTATGGCGGCAGATTTCCGCCCTGCTTGTGAGGCTGCACCTCTCTCCTCAGCGAACTTTTCAAACGCTTCTGCTTTTTTCAATAAACATTTACTAGATATTATCAAGCACGCAATACATTAAGGTCAAGGGCGCTGAGGTGTCAAACAGTTAAGGCATATTACTGCCTTGGGCTGTAACCCTGTACCTGTTCACCTGGGAATAAGTCTCCCCACTGAACTCAGTGGGACGCTTATGAGCAGACAGTGGTGAGGAACGTCAAGCCCAGGGGCCCTCCGCATGGGAATTGTGGTCCCCAAATGCCAGAAGCTACCTTAGACAAAGTCAGACCTTTGGTCTATCTACCTGAGAACCAACAGTGGCTCTCTGAGGTTCCAGTTGGACAGCATCCCTAGCCCTACCTGGAGACTCCAGGGATTGAACCAGGTGCCTTCTGCCTGCAGGGCAGATGCTGTCCCACTAAGCTACAGGCAACAGGGTGGTCAGGTGTGGCCCTGAGGATCAGAGGTAGCTTTCAGTCAAGGACTGGCCTGATAGCTACCTGGCAGAACACCTGCATGCTACAGCTTCCTGCCTCTGTATGGGCAATTGTGCTGTGCTGGTCCCGTGGGTTAACTGTGAGGTGAGGTCCAAGTCCAGTCCGAGGTCGAGGGTGCAGCATGGAGGCAGTCTGTCAAAGCTGAAGCTGGGTCCAAGGCAGGGAGTTGGGTGAGGTCAGGAGCTCCAGCAGGATAGGGTGCAGGCAGGAACTGGCTACCAACAATATTGCTCCCACCACTTGGGACTGGGGCTGGCTGGCTTTTATCTGCCCCGAGGCATAGGGCAGCCCCGGTCCACAGGTGACTCGCCTCTCCTGGCCTTGAGGCAAGCACTCCCCCTGCAGGAACTTAGTTCCCTCTGCGTCTCTACCCTGAGCCTCTGCAGCTCAGGAGAGACTGGAGGGTTACCGGACCCAGAGGCAACCTCAGCTTCCCCTGACGGGGCTGAGAGTGGAGCACCTGCAGGCAATGGGTCCTCCATCCCCTCAGGAGCCAGAGCAGACTCAGCTGGTGCCTGCACTTGAGGATCCAGCACAGCTGAGGACCCTTCAGGCTCAAGCCCCGCCCCAGCTCAGCTGGTTCTGGAGGCGGGGACTCCTGTGCAGGCTGGGATTCCTCAGGTTCAGCCTCCGAGTCTGAATCCCAGGCCATCACATAGGGCAGCCATAGGGAAGTATGGTCAAAAGCATTAGAGTCACAACCCTTCGTTCATCACTACAGGTCCCATTTTAAAGCTGGGAACCCCTGATGCTAAGGGCCACTTCCCATGTTACCCAAGAGCTCTAACTCAGTGCTACAGCAGATGCTTTGCACGCAAAAGGTCCCAGGTTCAGCACCCAACATCTCAAGGTAGGGCTGGGAATGTCTCCTGCCTGAAATCCTGGAGAGCCTTTGCCCATCAGTGTAGACAATACCAAGCTGGATGTACTGGTGGTCTGACTTCTTATGATCCCTTAATGAAGGACCACAGTGCTGAGCCAACAGTTTCAACTGCTACTACAGGTTGTCATGAAAGTAGAGCTTCTATCCAGCATTTGAATCATAGAATCATAGAACTGTAGAGCTGGAAGGGACATTTAGTCCAACCCCAAATCTCAACTAAAGCATCCATGGCAGAAGGCCATCCAACCTCTGCTTAAAGACCTCCAACAAAGGAGAGTCCATCATCTCTCACTGTCAAACAGCTCTTACTGTCATAAAGTTCTTCCTGATGTTTAGTCGGAATCTCCTTTCTTGTAGCTTGAATCTGTTGGTTTGGGTCCTACCCTCCAGAGCAGGAGAAACCAAGCTTGCACCATCTTTCATGTGAGAGCCCTTGAGAAGGTGGCTATCACATCTCCTCTCAGTCTCCTCTTTTCCAGGCTAAACATACCCAGCTCCTTATATCATTTATCATAAGGCTTTGTTTCCAGACCCTTGATCATCTTGGTTGCCTTCCTCTGCACATGTTCATATATATATATATATCATATACATTCCAATCATTTAACATAACTTCTTATCTTATACAATATTTTAGACTTCCGTCAACAACCTAGGAAGATTTTCCATTCTTTATCACTTGTTCTGCATTTCTTAATTTCTCTGTTACTTTTAATTGTCCTTAACTAATCATTCTTTTCAAAGTCTTCCTTGCAATATTTCACAAAATCCTCCTTACAGAACTTATTGCAGTCCTACTAGCGCAATCTGTTTATCACAATTGCTTATCTAATTCTGCATAGTCCATTAATTTCATTTGCCATTCTTCTTTCGTCGGTAGTTCTTCTTGCTTCCATTTTTGTACCAATAATACTCTTGCTGCTCCTCTGCACATGTTCCAGCTTGCCAATAGCCTTCTTGCCAATAGTAATCTGGGGAACCGGGTTCGCGTCTCCTCTCCTCCACATGCAGCTGCTGGGTGACCTTGGGCCAGTCACACTTCTTTGAAGTCTCTCAGCCCCACTCACCCCACAGAGTGTTTGTTGTAGGGGAGGAAGGGAAAGGAGATTGTTAGCCGCTTTAAGACTCCTGAAGGGGAGTGAAAGGTGGGATATCAAATCCAAACTCCTCCTCCTCCTCCTCCTCTTCTTCTTCTTCTTCTTCTTCTTCAATTGTGGTGCCCAGAACTGGACACAGTGTTCCAGGTGTAGTCTGACCAAGGCAGAATAGAAGAGGACTGTTACTTCTCTTGATCTGGGATAAGCATCATAGAATCATAGAATAGTAGTGTCGGCCTATATTGCTGCTTCCAGTCCCTTGGGCTTGCTTCAGTCCAATTGCTTAAGTGCTTAATGTTGCGCCATTTGACTGGTTACCTACCCGGAAGCATTATAAATAACTCTTATCTCTTTTGCCCTATTTTAGGTGTTCCTGCATCCACTAACCTGGATATTCGTGTGTCCCTGAACTTGATGTATTTCAAAACCTGGTGTTGAGATTTCCGCTCTGCTGCAGTACAGTGTTCAAAACTTGGTAGTCATCTAACCAGAAAAAATCCAGCCGAGACAGTTATTATTCGTTTTTAGGGGGGTGGAGAGGTTTGAAAACTTCTGGGCCAATTGCCAGAATTTGGGGCTGATTGCTGAATTATTTTAAGTAAAGGCATAATTTGTTTAAGAGAAGTCACAAAATGCCAACTCCCAGATCCATCGGAGGCAACCAGATACTGACTGCATTCCATTTGCTATGCACCCGAGTAAGCACACTTGTAAGCTTCGTAAGCCACTCAATTTTCCACAAAAGAAGCCAGGACAGCATGCATGAAGTACATATTTTATCCCTCCCCCTTCCTATAAATTATCATTGTTGTTGATTAAAAAATACCTTTTACTTATGGTCACCAATCTAGGCAATGCACGTTACTAGACATAATTTCATATCTGTAATAATTGTAATAATTTTAGTATATATGTATACTTTTCTCTAGGTTTTTTGGTTTATTATTTGTGGACAAATGCCTCTATAAATTTACATTAGCGGCTTTTGATGGCTGGTGGTTGAATAAATGCCATTTGGCTGGGTAGCAGCTACAGAAAGTGAGAGAAAGCATGAATGTATCTACTAGCCAGTGAAAGAGTCGAGAGGTTTGCATCTTTTCAGCTGGCTGTGAAAGGAGCCTTGGCAGGATCCGAGGACATGAGTTTATTTCTGGGGTTGAACTGATGCTGTTTAATAGACTACCACTATCCATCTCAGAGTTTTCCTGCTCCCCCGTGTTCAGTGTTTATGCTTTTAAATAAACAAATATTTCAAATACAACATAAACTCTCCTTGTGATGTCGCTGGTGAAACTTCCCTCTTCTACACCTGACCCTGGTAAACACACACACACACACACACACACCATTCAATACAGTGGCACTTTGGTTTTCAAACTTAATCCGTTCCAGAAATCCGTTCCAAAACCAAAGCGTTCCAAAACCAAGGCACACTTTCCCATAGAAAGTAATGCAAAATGGATCCATCCATTTCAGACTTAAAAACAACCCCTAAAACAGCAATTTACCATGAATTTTACTATCCAACGAGACCATTGATCCATAAAATGAAAGCAATAAACAATGTACTGCAGTCACACAATCAATCAATCAGTAGCTGAACAAGGTTCCACACAGTCACAAAAACAAAACAATAAGAGCCGCAAAAACAAAAACACAAAATAAATAGCAAAAACAGACAGACCTCAGCATAACACTCAAAACGGAAGCGTAACACTCAAAACAGAAGCGTGGCACTCAAAATGGAGCACGTTTGACTTCCGGAAAAAGTTCGCAAACCGGAACAATTACTTCTGGGTTTGCAGTGTTTGGGTTCCAAATTGCTTGAGTACCAAGGCGTTTGAGAATCAAGGTACCACTGTTTCTGTATTAGGATCATCTAGTCCAAACTCCTGCAATGCAGGAATAGACAGCTGTCTCTTATGGTGATCAAAGCTGTGACCTTGGTGTTATCAGTGCCATGCTTTAACCAACTGAGCTGTCCAGCAGGAATGGATAACCTGTGGCTCTCCAAACGTTGTTAGACTACAACTCCCATCATCTGTGACTATTGGCTAATGGGAACTGGAGTCCAGAGCTGCAGCTTCACTGTCCTTCCTGGGAAGAAACCAATACTGCAATAGCATCAGAAGTCTTCAAAACTTTATCCTCAAGGAAACTGGTCTTGTAAACCAAACTTCCATCTCCAGCTGAGGAAGTGAGGGCTATTTTCAAACAAGCAGCCTTTCCAGACCCACCTGGAGATGATGTTGTTTTTTAGTCGTTTAGTCGTGTCTGACTCTTCGTGACCCCATGGACCAGAGCACGCCAGGCACTCCTATCTTCCACTGCCTCCCGCAGTTTGGTCAGACTCATGTTTGTAGCTTTGAGAACACTGTCTAGCCATCTTGTCCTCTGTCGTCCCCTTCTTCTTGTGCCCTCAATCTTTCCCAACATCAGGGTCTTTTCCAGGGAGTCTTCTCTTCTCATGAGGTGGCCAAAGTACTGGAGCCTCAGCTTCACGATCTGTCCTTCCAGTGAGCACTCAGGGCTGATTTCCTTAAGAATGGAGAGGTTTGATCTTCTTGCAGTCCATGGGACTCTCAAGAGTCTCCTCCAGCACCATAATTCAAAAGCATCAATTCTTCGGTGGTCAGCCTTCTTTATGGTCCAGCTGGACCACCTGGAGATACTTGGGACTGAATCCTGGGCCTTTTGCATGCAAACCTGATGCTCTGCTACTGAGCTACCATAACGGATGGGAGAGAATTGCAATCCGGTTCACGTTTAAAACTGGGTTGATCTCATTCATAGTTCCCAAAACAACCTGAAAACCAAAACATGGCCATCCCTTGACATCAACACTTTCCTGAATATTGCAGTGCCATTTTCTGACCGAAGTGTACATAAAAATGAATATATTGGGGTACATGGGATAGAAACCCACAATCAGGAACTGAGCACAACAGACCTCTCTCGGCTGGACCTCTCAAGGACCTGGTATTCAGAGCCACAGAGGAGGAGGCAGAACACCATAGACAGTAGCAACTGATAGCCTTATCTCGCCCCATGTTTTTTGTAGAGTAAATCTCTGGCCACTAGATGAATCCATAGTGACCAAGATGTATTGGTCGCCTGCCTTTGTTTCATGCTAGATCCCCGATCACAGGAACAGACTTCACTGGTGTTTCAACACTATAGTGTTGCATTGGGGACTCCTTTAGCTTCCAGGGCCCATTCTTTGCTATGCAACAACCACATGGTTCTGCACCTGGTGCCAACATTTCGCCTCCGCTTAACCACAGAGGCACTCCCCCCACCCTCCATGAACTTTTGCAAGGCCTGAAAGTCCAGCAGTTTCAGGCTTGTGACAGGACGCCACCACCATCACTTCCCTTTTTAAGCTTTTCTTACACAACTAGTTGACTCCAGGCTTGAGTGCATTCCTGGCTGGTTTTACTCATCTGCTGCAAATCATGCTTCAACTTCACACCTCCTCTCTCTCTCTCTGAAAGGAGAGAGCTTTCATAGTGATGCTGAGAGAGGAGAGAGAGTTTCCCCAATTGTCCAGGGTTTGTGAATTTGTTTCCCAGTGACTCAAGGCAATAAGAACAAGAAGAGCCTACTGGATCAGGGCATTGGCCTATCTAAGTCCAGCATCCTGTTCTCACAAAGGCCAAGCAGATGCCACAGCAGGATCTGAGCACAAGAACACTCGCTCCTCTTGTCGTTTCCAGCAGCTGGTAGATAGCAGCATTACTGCCTCCACAGCATAGACGTCATGGCTAAAGGTAAAGTACCCCTGACCATTAGGTCCAGTCGCAGATGACTCTGGGGTTGCAGCGCTCATCTCGCTCAATAGGCCAAGGGAGCCGGCATTTGTCCACAGACAGCTTCCAGGTCATGTGGCCAGCATGACTAAGTCGCTTCTGGCAAACCAGAGCAGCGCATGGAAACACCATTTACCTTCCCGCCCGAGTGGTACTGATTTATCTACTTGCACTTTTGACATGCTTTCGAACTGCTAGGTTGGCAGGAGCTGGGACAGCTCACCCCGTTGCGGGGATTCAAACCGCCGACCTTCTGATCAGCAAGCCCTAGGCACTGTGGTTTAGACCACAGCGCCACCAGCGTCAGATGTCATGGTTAGTAGCCATCAATAGCCCTCTTCTCCATGAATATCTCCATGAATATATATAATTTTTCTGTTTTACAATTTAAAATACTCATTTAAACATCCTTAAAATATCAATGACATCCCTTCTTCTCTTTCCATGGTTCATTTTGCGTATCTTAGATCCCTGCATATTTTACATGAACTATACCATTCAGTATTCCATTATTTCATCCATCAAAACATATTTACACTGCTGAATTCATCTTAATGCTGCCAACGTTTTCAAGTGTGCACAATTTCCTCCCACATATTCAATAGACATTTCCCGATCTTCTCTAAACGTATGTTCTTCTTGCTCTCTTATTCTGTATGTTAGGTCTGCAAGCTGCACATATCCCGTCAGCTTAAGTTGCCATTCTTTTTTAGTTGGGACCTCGCTCGTTTTCCATTTTGGGGCTAACAAAACACGGGCTGCAATAGTAGCAGACATGAATGACCTTTCTTGACACCTGGGAATTTCGGTCTGAATTATTCCCAACAGAAAGGACTCTGGGTTTTTTTGGGGGGGGGGAGTACTTTTAAACATTTTGAGAGAGGAAGGAAAACTTCATCCTCTTTCTCTATGCATAATCTTACGAATTTCTATCGTGACTCTGCTCACGTGCCTTTTCTCCAAACGAAAAAGTCCCAAACTCTGCAACCTTCCTTCATTGCTGCATCCGGTAATCGCTTTAGTTGCTCTTTCTCAACCCTACAATATCTTAAGGGGTCCAAGCATTATTATGCCTTACCCACCCTAGGTGAATGACGGTGAAGTCATACTCTTGTAATTTCTTCAACTGCTGCTCTTTGCCTCTCAAGGTTTTTCAAAACCAGACTAACCACCACAAGGAGGGAGGGATAGACTGGTCTTGCCACAACTTCCTCCCCGATGGAAAACAGTGGATGGGGCTTTGGGGCTTCACAACTGCTAGGGTTTCTCTCCCCATCGGGCGATGGTTCCTGTCCTTAGCACTCAAGCTTTTGTTGTAATAAGTTGTAATAAGCAACTGGCAAGTTCTGCTTTGTCCCTGCCCCCCAGTTATAGTTTCCCTCCAGACAGCAATCATGCAACACCATTGGGAAAGCGTTGCAGAACAACTTACAAAGCAGAATGAGGTGTGGACAGTCCACTCTAAATAAAGGTAAAGGTAAAGGGACCCCTGACCATTAGGTCCAGTCATGGCCGACTCTGGGGTTGCGGCGCTCATCTCGCTTTATTGGCCGAGGGAGCCGGCGTACAGCTTCCGGGTCATGTGGCCAGCATGACTAAGCCACTTCTGGAGAACCAGAGCAGCACACGGAAACGCCGTTTAGCTTCCCGCCAGAGCGATACCTATTTATCTACTTGCACTTTGATGTGCTTTCGAACTGCTAGGTTGGCAGGAGCAGGGACCGAGCAACGGGAGCTCACCCCATCACAGGGATTCAAACCGCCGACCTTCTGATCAGCAAGTCCTAGGCTCTGTGGTTTAACCCACAGCGCCACCCGCGTCCCCAGTCTAAATAATGCCCTATTATTTTGCATCAATGACATGTGGCCAAAGCAAAGCAAAACAAAATCCATTCTGGAGGGACCCAGAGAAATGGTTCTTTTCCGTTCCACACAGCTCTAGTTATACCTTTACCTGGTAATTGACCAGAGAGCACACAGACCCCCCCAAACTACACATAGCTCAATACTATTTTTTTAAGGATGTGTGAAAACTCTGGTGGTATTTGTTTGCTTGCTTTTTGCACCCTGGCTTCACTTTCCACCCTATGATGGGTTTCTGAGAAGACACAGTTGTTTGTTCTTTTTTTGTGCAGTTCTTTGAGGTGGGAACCAACCCTGCAATCTTGATACTGCAAGAGGAACACGCTGTTTTCTATTGTATTTTTAAAAACTGAAAGAGAAGTCACAATTCCGTCCAAGAGAAGGAGCGTGCTCCAAATGAAGAATGCAGATGCTGAGTGCATTTGTCTCATGGTCACTTTTTCTTGCTGATTACTGTTATTACAGTTGAGTAGGTGTCCTGCTTTGGCTCGGCTAGCCCTTCCCTTGACAGACCAATTTCATAGCTTGGAAGTATTCCTTGATTCCAAGCTATCACCGAAGGGCCAGGTGGTCTTGATGGAAAGGAGTG